GCAAAAATTCCATTTAAACAAAAAAAACAAACGCTGAACAACTGACGAAGAAATTTTCTTGTGTCAAATTTCCTTAAGGAAGTTTTTTGCAACAGAAATATATGCGCATTATTTCGTGAAGAAAGAGTGAGACAATAGGCTGTGAAATATCAGATGTCGAAATTTCTTAGACACTACTATTCCCGCGAACGAAACTTTTTTTTCTTTCCTGACTGTTTGCTTAGAACCTGGATACTAAGCTTTAGAATGGCAACAAATTAAAGTTTGATCGCTATGAAATGAAGGTAAAAGTGATAAGGGTGTTCTATGAATTAGTAGTTAGTCGCTATATTTCAAAAATTCATCTAATTTCGTTTTATCTTTAAGGCTGGGTTTCACCAGATTCATTTAAGTGAAAATTACTTTAATTTTCGAATTTTTGGTTTCGCCAATCAATTTTAATCTAATTATTTAATAAAATTAAGTAAAAAATTCAATTAAAGTTAATTTACACTTAAATGAGTCTGGAGAAACGCAGCCTAAGTCGTGAAAGTTACTTGACTGAAGCTACCTGGAGCTACCATGGCGAAATATTCTGAAAAATATTGCAGTGTTTTAAGCCTTTACCTTTAGGGAGGGCCGAAACGACGCATACGGGTGAGAGTTGGAGAGCTAATAGGGGCCGTGTTACTAATTTATATGCGAACCACTGCAGAGAATATCCCATTAGCCGCTCTTTTTTAACAAGGCTATTCAGGGTATGCTATGCGTTAGATGCCTACCGCTACAAAAAAAAACAGAAAAAGACAGTCCGATACCTCCCCAAGTTAGGGGGAAACGACAAAACTAACTGAAATAATACTGACCTATGAGCAGGGACCGTAACAGTTACAGCTTTTATTTAAAAAAAAAAATCGCTTTTTAACAATTATTTTTGACTTTTATTTAATTAGTCCTTAAATAAGTGTAATTTCTGACTTTTATTTTAAAAATCCAAAATAGCAGTTATTTTTGATTTTTATCTAAATAATCTGCAACAGTTATAAGGAGTGCTTCCGATAACCCAGAACATACTCTAATTGCTAAACGCTTCGGGCGCAAATGGGTTAAAATTACTACATGCCAACGGATGCCACCCTGCAAAAAATTGTGCGACTAATCTCTAAAGAGAGTATTCCGAGATTACTCTCAACCGGGTACAATTCGGCATTAATTAGTCGCAACTAGTCTCATACGGGGACTAATGGAGGTCAATTAGTCTCGACTCATCCCTTATGGGTATAATTGGAGATCAATGAGTCCTCAACTCATCTCTAACGGGTACTATTAACGATTTAATGATATGATTAGTCAATGAAATTTCATGTGCGGCGTTGGGACACAGAGAGGGTATTCGCCTAACAAAACTGAGCACCCCGGTTCGAATCTCAGCTGGCGCAAATTTTTATTCTTATTTTTTAAAAGTGACTAGTCGCTTTTTATACCCGTTCGGGTATAAAGGTGAACAATTAGTCTCTTCATAGGACATGCTCGAACAAAAGCGAACAGTTCATTCCATATAAAGAGATCAAAAGTGGTATTAGTCCTGCTTCTTTGCGATTGCTCCCGGAGTCATCCCGGATTAGTCCCATTTTTTGCGGGGCAAGTATAAAACCATTAAATAAACTCTAGGAAACGAGGGGTCAAAGCTACGAAGGGTGCCCCAAAGTATCTCTTACTGCAATGATGCACTTAAAAAGGGTTTAACGTTAACGCTCAAATGAGTAGCATAGCTATTTTCTCCAAGAAAGGAAAAGGGACAAACTCCTAAACCCATTCCTTCGAGAAGGAAAGAGGCATGATTACAAGAACTAGCCTGTCTCCTCCGAAGGAGGCTTTTAATTAAATGGTTATGCAAACTAATAACGCAAATGGCGCAAATATTTGCATTTCAGGCTGCTCTAGGATGGCGCATTAAAGACGATTCCACAGGGAACTCAACAATAGTTTACAAATGTGGTGGCACTATATACGATCGTGGTTATGTGATCACAGCGGCACATTGTCTATATCATTCAGCGTATGTTTAAAAAAAAAAATACTATTATTATTTTTTACTCCTTATTTCTCATTTTGAACAAATTTGAAAAAAAAAAAAAAAACTTAGCGATCTGCCCGTCGTTGTGCGACCTGGTGGGTTCGCCTTAAATGACACTGAAGCATGGGACCTGGAAGTTGAAGATGTCATAGAGCATCCCAACTATGAATATCCATCTGTTTACAATGATATTGCTGTTATACGCTTGAAGGCAATATTTAAGTGAGTAGAAAGACGTTTGTGGGATAAATTGAAAATTTTTTCAACTGAAATTTTGTTTTAATTTTTTTCAATACACTTCAAAGTGGCAATCCCTTCCATGATGCACCAGCATGTCTTTGGGCAAAGCCAAGCTTGGAAGAAAATGTTACAGCAATCGGTTATGGAGACACACAATTTGGTATGTACATATTAACATACATAAATACATATAGCGAATTTTCACTAGGCCTTAAAGCTGCAAAAAATGCATTGAGGCGATCAAAGTAGTCACTTATATTGTTTCAACATGGAATTTTTTTAATCAATGCCTAAAGAAAAGTAATATGCAGTAGTAGTCCAGCATTGTAGTATTAACCTCTTAACCATCTTTTCAGGCGGCGTCTCCTCTCCACTATTATTAAAGACCAATTTAACAACAATCAACAATCGTGAGTGTGAATCGTTCTATGACCCGGATAGTGGTGCTCTAACTGAAGGAATTAGATCGACTCAGATATGCGCAATGGATCCCGAGAAACTGCGTGACACTTGCCAAGTAAGAGCATGAAAATAGCTTGAAATTTTTGTGAAATACATACTTGCATACATTATCATTAAAAATACCTTTCATTTACAGGGCGACTCTGGCGGTCCGATTATAAAGTTTGTGCAAATGGAGGGTCTTAATTTAATGTCTTATTTGGTTGGCGTAACATCCTTTGGCATCGGTTGTGGCACTGGTACCCCAAGTGTTTATACGCGCATATCTGAATTTGTTGATTGGATTGAGGAGGTCACTTATGGAACTGTGGCGAGCTGAATATGTACATATGTATATACTTCTACTGACGAAAGACAAAATAAAGCTATAAGTCACATTTAATGGACAACAACAGTGTTGATAAAAAATATATGCATTAAAATAAATAAAGTTAAAATTAAAAGTTTTCTTCTACAAGTTTTCTTTCTACAAATTAAAGGAAACAAAAATTAAAAAAAAAAATTATAATTTTTAATCAAAAAGCACAACTGACTTCAATTCTCATAAAAATAAATGCGTAACACCATCAGCATAAAAAATTCCAAAAATCAACGCTCAAACTTGCACTTTATTATATTTACTAAAATTATATGGGCTACAAAACTGCACACTCAAAATCTTTCTAGAAAGTATTAAAAAAAAGAAAATGCATATAAAAGAACTATATTTTGAGAGATTTCAAAATGGAAAAACTAATTTTTTCGCCCCACACTAATCTACTATATTTAATTATCGATAACGTAAACCTCCGGACTAGTTACCATAACCATGCAGGTATTGCTATAAATACTGAAAACAAGTCCTTTTTTGTGCATTTATTTTGCAATCAACCAGTTCGTAAGCAATTCTCAACACAATTTTTTGTTTAATCTTACAAGCCTAACTCTCTTATTTATAGCTGATTAGCATATATTAAATTTCGGATTT